TTTGGGGGCTGGGGACTTCGGGGCCCCTGTTTCGGAGGAGAGGATCCTTCAAGGTAAAGCCGGAAAGCTCCAAAGCTCCAAACCCAAACCCTAAACACTCAACCCTAAGGCCCTAAACTGGTTCCACATCCCTAAACCACGAACAAGTAAGTCTGTCCAGAGCATCATAGACGATCCTTTGGAAGAATCGAGCGGGGATCGGGTCATATCCGGGGCTTCTGAAACAGGTCTATAGTTTAGGGTTTAGGGTTTAGGTGTCCTTGTAAAAAGGATTGGATCGTACAAACTACCGTCTCTCTGGTTGATTATTCCGGCCCCTGTGTTTTGCGGGCGAGGGAGTACCTTTGGAGCCCCTTGGCTTTGCCGAAGCACCTGGAACTCAATTCATAGCTGATGTCTCGGTGGTAGTGGTTGCGTACCTTGAAAGGGAATCCATGGACCCGACACACTCAAAGCAGCCCTAAACCCTATACACCCTACCAAATTACAACCTACTACAGTAGGATCCCGTCTCTTCTCCTTTCTATAGGGAACCCCGTGGTAGGAACCTGAAATCCTGGAATGCCAAACGAAAGCCAAAAAGCGCACGCCGATTCAGAAAGACACATCACATCCAGGCAGTGATCATGATGCTGACGCTGATTGTCTGGCGCATTTAGATGTCGGGAGGCTGTCATGAATAGGCATTAAAACCCCAAACCCTCCACCCTACACCCAACACCGTACACTGAGCCCGTAAGTAACAGTTTGAAACGGGTACTTGGGTATATGAGTGGTTCTCTAAATTAGGGTCCCCTTCAGGATCCTGTTTATAAGAGTGCCGTAGCATTTTGGGAACTCAAAAAAAGGACCCTGATTTAGAGACCTGTCCTAATTTAGAGAATCAGAACTACCCATATAACCTACACCCTCAGCATATAAGCATGCAGCCCGGCAACACGCCTATAGAACCCTCATTGCAACCTTGTAGAACCATTCTGATTGAAAGCTGTTATGGACTCCTGCTTACCTGGCAGCGGCTTGAACCTTCGAGAAACCCCCGTAGTTAGACTGCAACTCCCGTAGCCCAGGGCTCCAGTTACCCAAACACACGGTTGCTAACCAGAAACTACGTGGGTAGTTCTCGAAAATAGGGTCCGTTTATGGGTCCCCCAAATATTACGGCCCTAGATGGGACCCTGCCCATGTAATCCCAGTAACCCATGGTGTAGGTAAGTGGAGCCATAGGGTTAACTAAGCAGGAGTACACATTCATCTGAGCTACCACGATTTGAGCACTTACTTTGTCCTAGGGCCCCAAGCAATTTTATGCTGGGTGACAGTAAGAACCTAAAACAAGGGTAGACTATGGAAACCTTTAGGGGGTTTTGGAGTCTCTGAGGATAGCGGTTCATGTTTTAGGGCGGCAAAATAATGGCCCAACATCTCGGAAGGCTGTCAAGCCGGGTCCAGGTAATCCCTCAACCCCAAACTCTCCAGATGCTTTAGGGTCCCAGGGCTTTGGGGGTTTAGCAAGTTGTGTTTAAGAGTATTTTTTCGGGTTCACGAGTTCGGAGGGCGGTTTAGGGTTAAGGCTTTAGGGTCGTAGGGTGTAGGTAGGGTTTAGGGGTCAGGCTTTAGGTTTTAGGGTGTATAGGGTCTTTGAGATTTTGTAAGAAGCTCGACGTTCTAGTCAGCCATAGTTACGGGTTGGGAGTATATGGAGTACTTCCTAATTTCTGTTGTGATCTTGCAAGGAGACCCTAAATCCTGAGCCTTATATACTGGTTTCCATCGGCCCCGTGGTCTAGTAACCACACGCTAAGCCCTAAACCGCCGACCCCGGAACCTTGAACGATAAGTGGTATAGAAGCCTGAATAAGTACCCACATTTGCCCGAAACCTCCTTATGATACTTACAGTATCATGTACCCCCAAGCCCCATACTAATCATGGAGGCCCTACAGTATCCTAGAAAATTCCAGGATCTCCGCTTCTTTGGTGACTTTCGCGACGGGCCAATATGAGCAAAATGCCTTCCATGACTGGGTCCTTGGGGTTCGGGGTTTGGGCTTCAGGGTTTTTGGGTTTAGGATTAAGGGTTTGGGAGGTTTTACGGGTTTTGGGAGTAGTGAGGCGTGAAGCGTTCAACCGGCTAGGTGGGTAGATTTTGGGGTAGGCGATCAAGTTCCAAGGTTTATAGGGTTTCCGGGTTTATGGCTTTGGGATGGTTTGAGGTTAGGGGTAAGGTTGAGGGTTGAGTGGGTGACGAGTTTAGGTTTCAGGGGTTTTGGGCTAAGCAGTTTTGGTAAGGCTTGTACCCATTTATCAATCTATAGACTATACGTGCGTATATACATACATACATACATACATACATACATACATACATACATACATACATACATACATACACACACATACAGAACTACATAAATAGCATACATACCCACCTACACGCACACGTACACTCACTTACACACATGCATACATTATGTTCATGCACCTACGTGCATACGCACACACACACACACGTGCCTGTGCGCATTACATGTATGCATAAATTCCTGTATACTTTTGTATACATGTACATGCACATCCATCCATCCATCCACCCATCCATCCATCCATGCATGCGTATACATCTACATCTACATGTACATACATATATATATATATATCAGGAGGGTGCCGCCTAGGGACACTCCTCGTTTAGACTCATCACACATAGACAAAACACCCCATCGCCGCAAAGGACCCTCGAATCCCCAAACCGAGCACGTATCGCCAGACCCCCAAAGCCCTAAACCTCAACCCTACCCCTCAGCCCTTAACGTGCAGGCCTTCATAGATAGCACACGGTTTTGGGGTATATATTCTAAGATAAATATATAAAGGAGCCCCCAAAATAGTATTGACAATTATTCAGGCTCCGATGTTACGCTAAACCGACCAATCCTGAAAGAAAAACCTCTCCTCCCCCACCCACCCGCCGAACCCAAAGCCTGCCCGAAGTATAAAATTTAAACCCCTCTGCATCCTATACCTTTTTGTAAGCTGAGACCATTTTGCCTCAATCCCATGCGTGGTCAACTAAGCTCTGGGCCTTGAGCCTCTAGCCAGCTGAAGTCGCAGATCAAATGACTCCCGCTCGGCTCAGCTTACCTTCTGGCGGCCTCTGCCATGTACGGGGGGGGCACCAAGAGCAGTTGCAGAGCGAAAGCTTTGGTCTAAAGGGGCTGGCGGGGTTATGGGTTTGTCATGTACGGCCAAAGCCCAAGCCCATTAACCCTACAGCCCTCGCTATTCCAAACACTCTGAGCGACCTAGACCCGACCTAGCTTAGGCTGTTTAGGCTGGCTTAGTGTTTAGGGTCCACGGCAGGCTATCGTTAAAGAATACTGTGATACTGCATGATCCCGAAGACCTCCAACCATCGACCCGAGGCGACAAAAGCTGAAGGCCAATCCCCAAGCCAAGTCCTTAAGGTGCAGGGTTTGGGGTGTAAGATCATTGTTCCCCATGGCGAGCTCGGATGGAGGCGTGGGGCCGCACTGTGTGCTTGAGGGGCCATGTTTTCATGCTCCAGTTGTAACTACCTAGACCCTCACCCTAAGCCTCAATCCTCAACCCTAAACCCTCGACCCTGAACCCTAAACCGTATAAGCCCCTATTTGAGGGTACACGGAGGGTCCTGGTAGGGGGACCATCGTAGGAGTGGCATGGTTGGAGCGGTTTAGGATTTCAGGCGGTTTAGATTTTGGGGTTTGGGGTTTGGAGCTTTTTGGGTTTAGGGTTCAGGATTTAGGCCTTGGGGTTTAGAGTTTTTTGGGTTTAGGGCCTGGAGTTTAGGGTTAGGGAGGATTTCAGGCTGAGGTTTTAGGGCGTTGAACCGGCTTCTGATGCATGAGTTCAGGGCTTAGGGTTCAGGATTCAGGGCGTGGTACGAGACGATCTGCCGTATGTGCAAGATCACATGTTTTGTAGTTTAGGGCATGCAAGCCTGGAGTCCCTACCAATAGGACTTATGCATTCCTCCATCACCCGAGGAGATCCTTAAAAAACAGGCATATAGCGACTTAGCTTAGTGTGGAAACCTCTGGTTCAGGGTTTATAAGCATAAGATGTTACATCATAAGCTATGTTTTCTGAATCGGTTGAGAATTGTGGACAGGGATCTCAGCTTTAGACCCGGGAGGGAGTGGGGTCCCGAGCCTCAAAGCCTGACATCCTTAAACCAAAAAGAACCCCAAACCTACTTCTTATAGAGCCGTTGAGCGGGAATTGTCGAACATTTAGATTCTGGGGTTCCCCATGCTCTAAGCCTTCAGCCTTTTTTTACGCCTAAAAACTCCAAACCCTGAACCCTGAAACCCTGAACTCTGCAATCCAAAGCCAGGAACGTCGGCCTTCTGGGACATTCATCAAAGGCTCGGTGAGCTGCACACCAGGCTGGCAGAATGCTACCAGGCGGGGCTCAAGGGTTCCTGTTTAAGTAAATCTGAAGCCTTTAACCCTGAAGCCCTAAGCCCTTAGTTTTCGATGTTTAGAGTCGAAGGTTTTCGCGGTTTGAGGTGTTTGGCTTCAAGTTCAGGGCTTCTGATTAGGGCTCAAGGGTTTGGCTCAACGGTTTATTTGTTCCGGGTTCAGGGTTTCCGAGGCTTAAGGGTGACATTCTTGGGCTGCCGGCTTCTCAGGGTTTGGGCGCACGGTTTTAGTTTGCAAGCTTTTGCTTTCCGGGTTTGGGATTCAGGTTTTGAATGGTAGATAGAGGGGCAAAATCCAGCCGGGCGTCCCCCACGCCCAAAGGCTCTGGAGACTCCCTAAGCCCAAAGGCCCTACGACCCTGCTAAACCCTACGACCGAAACCTTAAAACCTTAAAAACCCTAGAATCTAGAGTCCTAAGACCCTACAGCCCTAAAGACCCAAAAAACCCTAAAGGTTCTAGGTTCTAAGACCCTAAGCCGTAAGACGCTAAACACTAAAGACCCTGAAGACCCTAAACCACGAAACCGGCCAGATGGACATGGCACTGCGTTCACGCCAGCTCCCCGACTCCGATGAAGTGGAATCTGTGTGCGTGCAGGCCTCAGCTTGTGTTAGGGTGTTGGGTTTACATTTGGGTTTTACGGTTTGAGGTTTAGGGGTTAGGGGCTTAGCGGCGGTTTAGGGCTTAGGGTTTAGGGTTTAGTATAGGGATTACCCAAAGAGGGGATTATGAGATGTCTTAGCCTTATGCTTGTCGTTCAGGTCTATTTTGCGGGCTGTCGGCCTCGCTATCGGATCTTGACTTCCATCGGGTCCTTCGGCATCTCAGGCTCCTGAAACGCCGGAAACCCTCCACCCCAAAAGTCCTGCAAGACCTTCGAACCCACAGACCCTATACCCTAAGACCCGAAGCGCCCTTCATCATAGAAGTCCCTTCCCTCAGAAGCACCGGAAGCCTTGAGCACAACACGGCCTAATCGCCCTAAGCTGTAGCCCCAAAGAACTACCCTTTTCAGGAACTATAAGAAGAAACCAGAACAAGGAACCCTAATTAGGGTCTATAAGGGTTTACAGACCACAAGTACAAACCGTCAGCCCAAGAACTTTAGCAGCTCGATGCCCTACTGTATCGCTTTGAATAATCTGCTGTAGAAATCGTAACTTCGTATTGTCATTGTAGAGATAGGTATAGCACCTTTTCGCACAATATGCGCCACATACCTACTCTAGTTGTCCAGACCCCAGAAGAAAGTATACGATTCATCCCGCACAAGACACGTGCAAAGGTTTCAGCACCTGTCCTAACTGTTCAGGCTCCTATCTTACACCTTAAAATTTTTTGCACAGCCCTTATAGAACATTTAAGAAGCCCACTAAGAACCGTTCAGGAACCCTAAATCCCAAAGCCCCCAAACCGTAAACCCCTAAGCCAGACGCCCTGCTCTGCAGCTAAGGACCGGCAGTTTCATGCGCTGGACCGACAACGGCGCAGCTCAGAGGAGTTGCAACTATCGCCAGGCAGACGGGGAGTCTCCGGGCGTAACCTCTAGGTACCTTAAAACGATTGGAACAGGACCTGGAGGTATATCAGACTACAATGACTCGGGACCGTAACGGCTTCGTGTGTCGGATTACAGGTTTAGGATTTAAAGTGGTCGTCGAGGTGATTGTCGTGATGGTGCACAATTAGATGTACAGTATGTATGTGTGTGTACGTATATATACATACACTCTATGTATATATATATATATATGCATGCATAGATGTGTGTGTAGATGCATATATATATATATATATACATATATGTATGTATGTATGTATGTATGTATGTATGTATGTATGTAGCCTACACGGTAGGACCCGTGACGGCGGAACCGGTGTTTTTTTGGGTCTGGGTATTCTTTGCTGTGGGTGCTCCACTGCAGCGGGCAGCAAGTGAGTGCAGTGAATACTCCGCAGCGAAAGAAATCCAAGGTGCCACCGCCTTTACAATGTGGTGGGTTATTTTTATTGCTGCAGGTGCGGGGCACTTTGGGGTGCATGTTTTGTGCTGCGGATGCGTGCACGGCCTTCTGCTGGTGCATGCGAAAAGCCCTCCGCAAAAAGTCGCCCTGCACCCACAGCTCCAAAAAAGAGCACACATGCGCACCCGCAGCAACAAGAAACGCGCCCGCGCCCGCAGCAAAACGTAAGTGGTGCCCTGCACCGGCAGCAAAAATCCAAGACAAACAAAAACAAACAAACACTCTTGCCCATGGAAGGCCACTGTTTCGTGCAAGTAGCCAGTTCTTTATGCCGTGTATATATATATATATACAAATATATATAGATATATATATATATATATATACAAATATATATATATATATATACATATATATATATAGGTTTATGTTTATATATATATATATGTGTGTGTGTTTAGGTATATCTATATATATGTAAGTAAGTAAGTAAGTAAGTAAGTAAGTAAGTAAGTAAGTAGGTAAGTAAGTGAGTGAGTAAGTGAGTGAGTAAGTAAGTATGTCTGTCTGTCTGTCTGTCTGTCTGTCTGTCTGTCTGTCTGTCTGTCTGTCTGTCTGTATGTAGGTATGTATGTATGTATGTATGTATGTATGTATGTATGTGTATATATGTATACCTACACATAGTTGCACACCTGCATACATATATACACACATATATACACACACACATACATACAAACATACATACTTTACCTTACTTTACCTTACCTCACCTTACCTATTACCTTGCCTATCACCTTACCTTACCTGTGGCCGTACCCATTACCTTACCTATTACCTTACCTATTACCCGACCTATTACCTTATCTATACTCTATACCTTACCTTACCTATTACCTTACCGATTACGTTACCTTACCTATTACCTTACCCATTACCTTACCTATTACCTTACCTATTACATTACCTTACCTTACCCTATATTGCCTAGTACTTAGTACCTACTACGTATTGCCTATTACCTATTACTTATTACCTATTACCTATTACCTTACCTTACCTTACCGACACACTTACTTATTCACTTACCTAAATACATGCATCCATGCATTCATTCAGTCCGTAAGTCAGTCAGTCGGTCAGTCAGTCAGTCCGTCAGTCATGCGCAATACAAGCAGACTGTGTTGGCAGTCACGGAAATGATGCCACGATGAAGTACATGGCAATAGCCGTGCTAGGCACGAAATGCAACATAATCAGAGCCTAGCTGTTATATAAGCAGTAGAAGTAGCAATACGAATTCCGCATAAACCCTAAGCGCCTGAACCCTAATCCCGAAACTCATCCAAACCCTAAGCCTCATCCCTGAAGCATGAAAGATTCAGAGGTCCGGCGGTGCCAGCACGGATCTTTACAGACTCCTCCGTCTCAGGAAGCAGGGGATCAGGGTGGGTTTTCGGAATTTGCCATGTACAAGGATGCCGAGATAAGGTGCCACGACTTCCAAGAAGCCCTTGCATGTGTGGCCGTCGGACTTAGGTGGGCCCACCTAACCCTGAACCCTACCTAACCCTAAACCCTCAGCCTTAAACTCTAAGCCTACACCCTATAAAGGGCCGGAGGATGATCCGAGGTCTTCGAGACTCCGGGACTGAGGGTCCTGGAGAAACTCGTGGACAAGCTCAAACCCTAGTACTTATTTCTGTAGTTCTCTAAATTAGGGTCCCTGTTTAGGTCCGCCAAAGTAGTACGAGAAAGACCCTAACAGGGACATAAAAATTTAGGGACCTACCCATAGCCGGGCAACTCGACCCACTGAAGGTCTGCGTGCGAAGGTTGTGATTTTGGGGTTGAGACTTAGTTCTGGTCATGAAGGTTTTGGGGCTTATAGGGTTTAGGCCTAATTTTTTGGCCTCTGGTAAGACGCGCAATCCTACAGCCCAGCTCTAACACGGGAAAATCGAAAACCCTTCCAGTACCTTGATAGAACATAGGAATCCTGTAACTCCTGTATATACATATAGAGTTTACGAGTTTATGCTCCTTAACACCCTCAAAGCCATAAGACGTATGCACCCTATAACCCTGCAGCCCGAATCTTATGTGGGGATTGGGGGGGATTCTAAGGTCGAGCCCAGGTGTGCGGAGATGGCCTCAAGTGGGTGCTGCAACTTGGGGCCCTTTAAGTCTTCACTAGTACAAACTACCGTTATCAAACATGTAAGAAGAGATACCTGAAAAGAGAATCCAGTTTTAGAACAACACTGACGAGACGATCACAATAAAGGTGCAGAGAAACTTACCCCAGAAGATGCAACACAATGACACTTCACTACAAACTTCAGCGCGATGCGGTCCAACATCCTGAACCTAAGGCCCGGCAGCAGCCCATAAACTCGTTGTAAGACCCTGCAAAAGCGTGTCCAACCCTTGTAAAGCCCACAGGAACCACACGTCTAAACCCTAAACCTCTTAACCCCTAAAGTCTCAACCCTAAACCCTGGAGTCCAAACCCCTAATAAGCCCCAACCCAGGAGTCATACCGTTCCCAGAAACCGTGTCCTCCGCGCGGATGCGGCGGCCCCGGACCCGTTTCGGAGTTTCATGGTTTTCGGGCTTTTCGGGTTTTATAGGGTTTAGGGTTTGAGGGTTCAGGTTTAAGGTTTAGGGCCTCTGGGTTCAGGGTGTGGGGTAATTAAGGATTTAGGGTTTGAGGGAGGTTTCCTGATTTAGGGAAGCAGCAGAGACCCCTGTACCGGCACCCCACGGAAAACGTCGGATGGCCGGGCCTAAGCCCTAAACCCTGCCCTACACCCCAAACCCCCTGAAGTTCAGGGCTCGTGTTGCCAATGCTCCGCCGAATCCTAAGCTTCGCGTTTAGGGTTTATAGGCTTTAGGCACGGCCTAAAGCCTAAACTCCAGACCCGAAGCCTCAACCAAGCCCCGAAACCTAAACCCTGGACCCTAAGCCCGTAAACCCCGACCCTAAGGCACCTAGTAGACCCTAAGACAAGCCCAGACCCCAAAGCTGACTGGAAGCTCAGAAGGTTGACGCCGATGACACCGGGAGCACCGCTCTTCAGAGCTCCGGCTGCACCGGAACTTAGGATTTAGAGTTTGGATGGATTGAGGATTTAGGGGTTTAGGATTTCGCGGTTTAGTATTTAGGGATTGTTGATTCGGTATTTAGGATTTAGCGGTGGTTTAAGGTTGACGGATTTAGGATTCAGGGTTCAAGGTTGTTTTTGCGACCCAACAGAACGTGAACAGATCTAGGGTTCCGGGTATCGGGAGCATGCTGGGGTCTAGGGTTTAAGGTTAGCCTTAACGCTTTGGGGTTGCGGCGTCGGGGGGAGAAGGTAGTGGGGGGTGGGCAGTTCATCTTTCGCGAAATTTTACGGGGGTCCTCTGCTTCGTGTTGGTTGCTGGCTTCAACACTGTGAGTCTGGGTCATGATTGCAAAAGTCTCAAACATATATAGGCGGTTATGAGGCCCCATAACGATCTCAAATAGTAGCGCCATGCTCCAAAGTCTAAGCGCCCACAGGAAATAACATCAAGTCACGAAACTCCACTTTCCTGCGTAGCCTGAATAGGTAGGGGCCTTCAGAATCAGAGTAGGGTGTGAGGGAGGGTGTGAGGGTATACAACAATACTATACCATATTTACTATTGCTACTACGACGACGACGACGACGACGACGACTACTACTACTACTACTACTACTACTACTATCACTACTACTGCTACTGCTGCGACTACTGCGACTACTGCTACTGCTACTACTACTGCTACTACTACTACTACTACTACTACTACTACTACTACTACTAACTGTATTCAGTGTTTTTTTTTTTACATGGTTGCACCTCAAAGCAAAACCTTGTTGAAGCCCTGAGAGTCATATCTGCGCTTTCTGTTTCATGGCCGTCAACCCTCAACCCTGAGCTTTGAAACCTAAGCCCGAAACCCTACAAGCCCTAAGCCCACACACGCGCGCGTACCTGGCCATGTGCTTTTGTTCGGGGGCGGGTGGGGGGGGGGTCCACGACCATGTTACAGAAACCATCCCCAAACCCTGCTATTTACGGCGTTTTTGCCTGCTTATACAACATGTGCAGAAGGATGTTGATGTTCAGCAAGACGAGGCCTGGTCACAAGTGTTCATGACATTTGCGAACATGCCCAAAACCCTGCTATTTGCAGCTTATTGCCTCTTTATACACCATGTTGCAGAAGACTGTTTCATGTTCAGCAACACGAGGCGTGTCACAAGCGTTCATGCCATTTTGCAAACATTCTCAAAAGCCTGCTATTTGCCTCTTTATACAACGTGCGTTAAGCCCTAAACTCTAAAGGCCTAAGCTCCTAAACCCTAAAGCTTTAAACCCGGAGCCACGAACCCTCAACCCCCACCCTATCCACCCTAATTATGAGCGCGCCCCTATACGAAACCCCGACCTGAGAGTTCGTGTTTGCTTTTGCAGGCCTCATACCGTCCACACCACAGACGCCAGGGCCCGTACTGAATCGCTCCGCCGCTTGGCGGAAGATGAGGTTTGGGCTCTAATATCGGGGCCGTAATCGCCAGAATAGGGGTTTGTGTTGCATTGAAATACTTAATTAGAATGGCTTAAGCTTCTACATTAGGGTTATCGGGGTGGGCGGGGTGGGACTTCGTTCAGGTTTCAGTGTATCAAATCTGAGGGACCAGGCGGCCCCAAAGTGTTGTTTGGCGCACAGTCTTTACTTCCTTTTCGCTCAAATCAGAAAGAAGAAGGAAACTGCCAACACCGTGCCATGTAAGTGCCTCTGCTCGATGTCTTCTGAAATTGTGGTTTAGAGTCCAGAGTTTCCCGGCTCAGCATTTCTGGGCTTTATTTATGGTTTGTGATGGCAGGATTTGCAAGGTTTGGGAATTTAAGTTGAGGGGCCTTTGAGCTTGATGGCTTGGCCTCGGAAGGATTTCTGCGTGGCATTCAGCTGACACTTGAGGGGCAGAACCCAGACCCTTACAAGCCGTACCTTAAGCCCTAAACCCTTTAATCCCTGCCTAACCTTCCCACCCCCACAAGTAGGTCTAATAATGGCCCAACACCTATGATTAAAGGTCCATTATTCTACGTGCTTTTGGGGTCCAGGTAAACCCTAAACCTCAGCCTTGTAACCCAAAGACCCAAACCCCTGTTGCTCGAAGGACCCCAAAACCCACACGAGCCTCCAGCCTAAACATAACTGGCAGAAGCTCGTCTAAGATGCGTCCTGTTGTTCACATGTCGAGGGTAGTTTCTGGTGTAGGGTCGATGTATGCTACGACTAGGAAGCAGGTCCCGAAAGACCATAATACATATATATATATATATATACATACATAGAATATGTTTTGGTGAGTTTTTCCCGTGCTGGAAATGGAAATGTACGCAGATCTCAGATGGTGACCAGTCAATGATCAGCAAGATAACCTATCTGCAAAGACTCTCTAGGGTGTGGGGCGTTTTGATTCCATCCAAACCTTAACCCAGAAGGCTAACCCTAAACCCTACTATATGCATTTCCGAGGTCACGGCTGGCTCTGCCACAGCAGGCTAACGGTAGAGTTTTCAGGTTTCCGGGGTCAGTTCTGCTCAAGAGCAAGAAAGTCCATATGCGTGTATATATATATATATACACATATGTATACACATATATATATATATATATATGTGTGTGTGTGTATATGTATACATGTATCATCTACTGGTATGGGTTGGGTTCACAAAGCCATAAAGGGGCTGGTCCTTTGGGAGCTATGTTCATAATGGTAGTGTGTTTGTATATACATATATATATATATATATGTTTAGATCTTCAGATTGATATATATATATATAACTTAACTACATTCTACATTATATATATATATATATATATATGTATACACACACATATATATATATATACTCTCTGGGATAGCCCCAGATCGATAGCGTCCCCGGAGCAGTGTGAACCATAAGCCCCAGCCTTTACCTGTAGCTCCAAATCCGACAATACAGTGGTTCTAACCCCTTGGTAAAAGTGTCTACAACCCCTGAAACCGTTTTGGGTTTCGAGCGCCATCACCCCCATCCCCGGTCTTGTCTGCTAGCCTCTATGCAGGTTCCTGTTTGCTACCGAAGCCGTCTTTTGTGAAAGCACACTAAACCCTCAAACCCAAAACCCCCGAACCCTGAAGCCCTAGAACCCTAAACCCTAAAACCCTAAACCCTCAACCCTAAACTCCTGAACTTTGGGGCCCAGTACCTAAATGCGGGCTTAGGATTTAGGGATTCAGGGTTTAGCGGTGTGGGGTTTGGGTGGTTCCCCGATTTTGTTCCCAAAAGCCAAACGGCACCCTTGTAAAAAGGACCCTCAACGGGACCCCCAATTTAGAGAACTGAACTGCCCATGTAGAGGTTCTAAATGATTAGTAATACTATATTCTTCAGGGCTCCTAGTATACTATGACCTACCATGATATAGCCTAAACCGTAACCCCTAAACCCTATGATGTGCACCCCCTCTTGTAGCACCAGGTGTGGTCGTAGAGTAGATCAAGCAACCAGGTGCGAATCATGCTTTTGACCGTGCTTCGCTAAGTTCGAAATGCCGACAGCCGAAGCCCCACAATTCCGAAGCCCCCAAGGTAAGCACCCTCAAGGCAGATGGAAGACCTGAAAATGCGAAGTGGTGCCAAGCCATGACTACAACGGTTTAGGGTTTGGGGTACTCGTAGTTGTTGGTCACGTTTCCCAGCCAGCAGCCCTCAACACCAACACAAAAAAGCCCAGGACCCGAAACCCTAAGCCCAAACCCAGGCCACATGTGCAAAGCCTTCAGCCCCACAAACTCATAGCCCGAAGCCATAGCAGCTTGACCAGCTTTATATCATGGGGTTCAGGATTTACGGTTTAGCATTCAAGGTATACCATCCTATAGTAGAACTGTTGAATAATGCCGCCCCTTTGGGTTCTGCAGTATAAGACTAAGGTAGTCTAACTACCAAAACCCCTGCATGAGACTTCGATCTGGCAGGCGCTAACCGGGTGCCATCTCACCAGCAAGGTGTCAGGGCCGGCAGGTTTAGGAGTTTTAAGGGTTTAGAGTTGAGGGTTCAGGGTTGTTAACCGAAGGTTAGGGAGGGTTTAAAGTTGTTGGTTTTCCAATGCCTCCAAACCCTACAGCATGCTCAAAGATCAACTTGGTGGTAGAACCTTGACAACATAGTAAGTACTTTAAGGACCCAAAATACCTAGTTTGGTGTTGGGGTTTAGGATAGGTAGGTTGCGTTTTGCGAGTGCACGAGTATTTGCTGGAACCAGTTGTTCTTGCCCCTAGCGATGTTCTAACCCCTAGCGATGCGGGAAAGCGAAGAGGACCTGTTGTTCCTCGGAATGAAACTATGGCTTTCCAGACCCGGTATCTTACGGGACTGGTGCACTGGGTCTTGCATGCAACTGTCAACTGTCAAATGTTGCTAGCGATGGGGAGGTCGGCGATTCACGTGGTGGGAGTCAGGAAGATGGCACAGCATACAAGGTGCCGGAGTGTCCACCGTATGCCATACACGCGGGGGGACCCTATTTTTTTTAGCCTTTTTTTTTTTTTTT